TGGTTAGTCTATTCATCTCCAAGTTGAAAACCTCCCCAAAGTCATGGAAACTCAAGTTCTAAGGCAGTGAAATGACTCTGATTTACTTTGGAGAAATGTTTTTCCTTTTAAAATGATTTATTACCGTGTGCTGCTATTCAAACTTCTTTTAGGCTCTTATAGCTGAATTTAAAAAAAAAATACATTTTTTCCCCTTTAGTAACAGAATTAAATAAAGCATTGAAAGGACCAAACTCCATAAATGTAATAAAAGCACCGATTTGCTTATATCTCTTATAATTGAGATTCAGTTTCACTTTCTCCCTTTCTCTGCTTATGAGTCAGAATCCCAGAACAAAAAGGTGTCCGTTGAGGTTTTATTGCTATCGGGGTTGGAGGGAGAAACGAGGCACAGGGGTTTCTCTGTACCTCCTTTGTGCACGTCCTGTGGTAGTCCAGAGGTCTTTCGGTGGATATTCAATACTGGTAGATTGAATCTTGGCAGAGTTGGAAAATAAAACACAATGTTGCATTCAAGTATATGCAATAACTTTAGCCTAGGCAAACAGAACGATAAAGATGTTCTCCTCCGCTGTCCCAGGCTAAGATCAATGCAGGAGAAAGAAAGCCAGCAGCTCTGTAGATCCACAAGTAGGCATTTCTGCATCCTGCCCCTCATTTCTGGGTTTGAATTCCAACCCTCATGCTAAGTGCCTCAAATGCCGACTGTACCCATTTAAGAGTGGGCATGGTTATATTTTGCACTTAGGAACGCACATACTTTCACGACGGTCTCAATTCCAAAGAAATGCTTCAGTCTGATTTACAAAATCGAGTGCCACTCTTAAAGTCGCTGCCAAGCTGCCTCAGAGCTGGAATTTCCAAGGGAATCAGAAATTAGCCTTCTATTTTCTTTGTGACGGTTCCTCATCTATCATTTTAATAAACGTATCCTACAGTGATCACGAACCTTTTCAAGAGCAATAACAATTAAAGTCTTTCTGGAAGCCATTCCTGTCCCCAAAAGAAACGCTTTATTTTTCTGTGGCCTTCAGGAAAATAAAAATATCAAGGATGATATCAAATCCCTAGCCTCCTAACATCATTATTTACTAGGCTATGAATATCAATCTGGAGAATGTATTCTCGTGTCAATGAATCTCCTAGCAATATGGGATTTCTTCCCTTTCACATACCTTAGTGCAATGTCTGTATTGTTTCAAACATTTCTTGTTCCTATTTTGATTCTTGATAAGCAAAGAGGGAAGATGCAGGGCTTTTTTTTTTCCCTTGTTAGACTCACAGCAGGGATTTTTTTTTTTTTTTGAAAAAGCATGGAAACTTCAGCAGAGTTGGGTTGTGTGTGAACTGGCAGGCAGCAGCCCCGTTAAGGCTCAATTTATTAAAAATAACCACATGGCAACAAAGATCTTTCTTCTTCATTCTCTTGACTCTGTAAAAAGCCAGGCTGAGAAAATAAATATCAAACCTTGGAAAAGCCTGTCTAATAAACCCAAAATGCTAGATCAGGTAAAATGTCCTTTTAGAAAAAGTTCTGGACTATTAAGAAAAAATATATATATCTATATGTAGGAAAAGAAAGATACAATATTTCACTCCAAGGACCCGCAATTCAGAGAAAGAATGTTGGTTGCACCAAATCCCCGAAGACAGATGACGGAGACTGGAAACCCCTTTCCTTCAAATGTTGTAATTCCCCGATGCATTTTGAAAGCACCTGAATCAATCTTCAAGACCTGAAGGCAATTTCATTTTCTGGAAACCTCCTTCTACCCCCTAATTTCCCAACCAAGTCAATGGTGGATTGCGGAGATACATGATCCTGGGCCTCTCATTTCCTGCTGATTTCCTGAGGCTACTTCTAATAAAGAAGAAGAGCTGGAGGGACCCGAGACTCACAGGAGCCTAATATAATCACTTCTGTCAAATGAAAATTCTGACTCATATTAATTCACTGTGACCGATCATTGGGAATTCAAGAAATAAACTGGACCTACCCTGCTAATTTAAATTATTCCAATGTGCCTCGTGTACTGGAAAAAGGAAGGAGCCTGAATTTCTTCTCTTTGCCTGGGGGTGTGGACTGAACCATGTGGCTGGGGGGTGGGGGATGAACACTCTCCTTTGGGGGTGATGGGAAATAGGGTCCGATGCCCCTACCTTGACCTGGGGTGGTACGCTTTTCCCAGAGCTCTCTAGGATTAAAGGAAGGTCTGATTGAGATAAAATTATCACCGTCACAGACCTCTTTATGGTTTTCTTTTAATCACCTCGCCTGGATAAAATTGCCTATTGATTGACCTTAAATGAAATCTACTTTAACCTGGGAACTCCATTAAGAGAATAATTCAGGAGGCTGCCTCTCTACCAGGGCATTGTTGACCTGACTGCCTGGGAATGAATGATGCGCCTCGTTCCGGGAGTCTCGTGATTCCTAACAAGTTTAAATGTTTATCTGAACTCCTTGAAACCTGGCTGTCTTCTTCTTCCTCAGCCCTGATTTCATCCTTCTTTTTTTCTTTTTTCCTTAGAGAAATACAGTTTTGCTTTCCCTCCCTTAGAATCTGCTTCACTGGGGTCTCCTGGGCACTCTATGCTAGTGGACTTTCCTGATCCCTGACATCATCTTGACCGTCTCTCCCGAGGACAGGGAGCACTGGAAATGCAGCCGGGCCTCGAAGTTCCCCGTAAACTGTACCGAATGCATTTTGACTTGTACTGGGTGGGTCTCGTCTGAGAAGGCATTGTCTGCTCTGGAATCGCTTATTCCGGTAGAGTCATACCAGCATTGCCGACTGGAGATTTTTGTTATTTTTTTTCCTGGACAACACAGAATGGATCAGGGTACTGGAAGCCTGGCAGAGGGGACAGAGGACCTCACCTAAGGTCAGCAGAGGGGCAGGAGAATACCTGCCTCTTCATATGCAGATGGGGACACATGCTGCAAATCTGTCACCTGTCTGCAGACGTGAAGGGGGGTTTGCATGACACCCAAGAGGGCACTGACAGAGCTAGGGAACTCATACTCCATCCGTCTCCATGTGAGGAGCCTGAATCATCGTGGCTCATTGAGAGTGACTGAAGTTGGGGGGAAACCTACGTTGAAGTGGGCTGTGAGAAAACCGTCTCAGAACGGAGAAGCAGCCCCCTCGCCCCTGCTCCTTGTCTGTCCTGGACAAGGCTATGTGCTCCTCCTCTGTGCTGGATTCAGCACAAGGGGTACGTCCTATGAGTGACACTCGTCACACTTAATAAAAAATTGCCTGTAGAGTTGCTTAGTTTCCCACTGGATTCTGCCATGGATGGGTGCAGAGACTCGGTGGCCTTGGGCTGCTCCTAGGACCTGGCTCAGGGCTCAGGGCTTGGCCCTGGGTGAGCAATCAATAAACTGCATTATTGAATGAATGAATGAATGAGACGTCCATGATGTTCAGAAGAAATACTCCCCTCTGAAAATGATGTGTTCTAGGAATCAGAAGAAAAGTTTAGAAAACAATGCAAGAAGACACAACCAGTGGGGTCCTCAGAAAGAAGGGGGCCAAGTGGAAGAACCATCTGGGCACAGCCCTGATCCGGAGGTGGGACTGGGGAGATGAGAGGTATTGAGAGGAAACCAGCATGGCAACAGCAGAGTTAAAACTCCCTCCTGTCAGAAAGGGCAGGATCAGCATCACAGGGGGCCAGATCCGTGACCCAGGTGTGAATCTGAGAATCCCTCCCAGAATGCAAAGCAGGACGGGGAGAACCTAGGGAGAAAGGGGTTGAGGATGGTGAGAGCTAAGCCATTTTCATGGAATGGAGAAGACCTCAGGGAGCAGGTGGAGCTGGAGCTTCACCCTGCTTCGGGCAAAATCAAGGGCACGGGGACCATTTCCAGATGCATTTTAAGGGAAAAGCCAAAAACCACACGAGTCTGAAACAAGGTGGGACGAGACACACCGTGGGTGGGGGGGAAAGGAACAGCTTCTCCCCTCTCCTCCCTCAACCCTTGCTGTTCCCCTCGCTCTTCCCCTCGCTCTTCCCTGAGTGAAAGGAGAGACCGGATGGTGAGGCTGGAGGGGAGCCTGAGCATTCAGTCCCTCCAGCTCCTTCCCTTGGGGACCCTCCTGCCTGCAGAGGGCCCTTCCTCCCTCTCGGCATCATGTAGAACCCGCACCCCCAACACCATCTGGTGCCTCCTTCAGTTTTTAAACAAATACCCACTGAGCCTGCACTTTTGGCTGGGCCCCATTCCTGTGCAGAGGATTTAGCAGAGAAAGTTCTTACTAGGAGGGACGGATGGAGAAGATAAACAGAGACACAGACACGTCCGTGATCCTCAGCTGGGCATTGCCAAGAGACAGAACCGAGCGAGACGGAGCCTCCGGAGTGGTTAGCTGGAGGGAGGGGTCGCTGCTTATCAGAGGGCCAACTGGACAAGGTGAGGGAGGGGGGCACAAGCTGTGTGGACCCCGGGGCAGAGCAGCCAGTGCAGAGATGGAGGAGGAAGAGTGCCTGGTCCCCTTCAGGAGGTTGGAGCGAGGCAGAGAGGGGGGTTGCACGGGTTGTGGGGGGGTGGGGGGTGTCGTGTGTGCACAGGCGCACACAGGCACGGGACTCAGTAGGGTCAAGGTCTGGGGGAGACCTTTGGATTCACTTTTAAATCAGATGAGAAGCCACCCGAGAGAGCGCTTCACGATGCTATTGCGGTTGGAAAGGACCCCGTGCCTCTGCTTGCCACCGTCTGCTGGCCTTCCGGGAACCCGCGCCCCATGGCGATGGCGGGCGGCCCACACCTTCCTCCTGGTGGGCCCCCTGCACCCGGGACGGCCCCAGGCAGAGGCGGTGCTGTGGAGACGCTGTTTGTTGGCAGAATGAATTACAGAAACCACCAGGTAGAGGGAAAGAGTCAGTGGGAAGCAGCCAGCTTCTCGATTCACAGTGGGGGCCAAGTGCGGTCCCCCCCAGTTCTGCGGCGCTCAGAGGCACCCAAGCTCCCGTGCTCCCTGACTCCTTTTGGTTATCTGGTGTGCATATCTTGTGACCAGCCTCCCGTCATCTCTGGGCGTCTTTGCCGCCCTCCTCCTCACGGGTCAGATCCTCCTAGGAGCTCCTGGTGTCCTTGAACTCACCAAGGCAGTGCCCAACGCAGGCCAGATTGGGCCGCCGCCTCCCGCCAGGGCCTCTCTCTCTTGTCATCTGTGCGTCCTGGACTGAATGTCCTGTTTGGCACGAGGTAGGCCGGTGGCCAGGATTAATTAGGTGTCTACTTGTGGGAGACGCCGAAAGCCCACGGTATAGAAGATTAAAAATATGGAAAGAGGTTAAAACAATTAACAAATAACATAAGCGAAAAGACTTTTTTTTTTCTTTTTATCTTAAAAAAAAAGCAGGGTGGGACTATCTAGTTCAGACAGAATAGGATTCCAAGGAGGAAAAGCATTATTAATTAAAACAAAGGGAGACATTTATACAGATAAAAAAGGAAATAATCACACAGAGTTTACAGACAGCCTGCACCGACAGTGGTGCCAGATAACATTCAATACCCACTCCTAATTAAAAGGGGGAGGCAGCCTCCGTGTTGGGTCTGTAAGTCCCCTCAGCGTGATAAATAATATCTAGCACAAACCAGCAGCGGCCGTCGGAGTCTGCAGAAGTACTCTCATTAAAATCACGAGAAATCCCAGGGTCCCTGGTGATATCAAGAGAGTAACCCGCAAATCTCTTAGTTAATCAGCTTTGGTAAAGTGGATGGGTTGGTAAACAGTAGGGAGAAGGGGACAACTTTACCTGCAGCAGCAACAGCCAGTGAGAAGATACAAAGGGAAGAGAGAACCCCACCCTCCTAACTGCATGAAGGAACCTGAGATACGAAGAAGCAGCGTTGTAAGAAAGAGGTGGGATCTCTGCCAGGAAGACTAGAAAAATCTTTTCGGGGATGCACAAAATAAGATATGAACAAACGAGCCAACCTCTCATTTTTTTCCTAGAAGAAAAAAGTCTGAAGTGCATGAAAATGTCAGTTCTCCTCGAATTAATGTATCAACTTATCTCCTTAATCAATAGCCTTTGGGCTGAGTTTTCTTCTGAAACCTGTGACTACATGATGCAGACATTCGCTTGGCAGAATCAACAGGTGAGAAAAACGAAGAGGATCAGAACAAAAACTCAAAAACATGTGAGAGGAGATGGGCAGAGGGAGATTCATGTTTGAATTTCTTTCCCACTAATTTCTATGAATAGGAATAAATTTCATATTAGAAAAGAAAATTCATACAATGTTTACATATTGGCTAGTACTTAAAAAAAATGGGAGGTTTTGCGTCATCCGCGTGGAAAACTTTACTGTAACGCCATTTGCGTCCCCTCCTCCACAGTGACCCAGAGAATCAGGTGGAACGAATAAGTAGGAGGTGTCCTGAGCACTTGTGCTTGGTATTGAATCAAGAGCTTCAATCAAGTGTGGAAGGAAATTAGTAACCTGTTGATTTATCCCTAGCATCATAAGTTGCCATAAGAGAATTTAGCAGCACTGATTTTGGGAATCTGATTTAGGTCATTTTCAACCCCATCAAAAAAAAAAGAGAGAGAGAGAAAAGAAAAAAGTTTTTTCTTCTGAATATACACACAGCTGATGGATTCCTCTGTTTAACTTGGCCACAAGCAAAACCACACTGGATGGAAATAATGGCTTCAGAGAAAATGACCGAACCCATAATTTATAGGGAGCTGCCAAGGAATTTAGGCTCGAGGTCAAACCCATGGCCTGTCAAGAGTAATATTATGCCTGGTCCTTCCCAGTGGTCAGTACTTGAAATTCAGCCAGGCGGTTCTGTGAAATTCTCCGTGAAGGACAAAGGACAGAATCCTCCTCCCAGACCAGAAGGTGTTGGTGGTGCGGTGTCAACCCTTATTACCTAGTTAAAAATTGATGATCACAACGTCTACCTGCCCAGTCTATCTGCCTCAGCCATCTTCACTGCACATCGTCTTTTATGAATCTTAAGCATCCCGGCCATGAAAGCGGCTGGCTCCTCTTATCAAGCACCACACAGGGGACGAAGACTGTCCCCAGGGCAGCTTTGATATCAGAACCATACGATAGCGTGAGAATCAAAGACAAACCTAAATTTTCGTTACTTTCCAGCTTCAATTTATTTTCCTAGGATTAGGGGTAGGCACTAGAATTTCAACCACAAGTTATGGTTAGTGAGGACGTAGAGTCCTGGGGTAGATATCATATTAAAAATCATTTCATTTGTGATCTCCCCAGTGGGTCTTAACTGAGGATTGGAGGGCGGGACCAGTAAAGGGAGAGCTCTCAAACTGTCATCCTCAAGTGGAGTCGAGTCTATCTGAAGTGGGGAGAAATCTCAATTTCTTTAAACTTCTTTTCCATCTATTTTAGGTGGATATGTACTTCCTGGAATATGAAGTTCTTTGAGCAAGATGCCGGAAAAATCCAACTCTGAAGACCCGGAGGAATTCCTTTGCAGTAGGTGAGACTTGAAGTGTTGGGAGAGACTTCACTGTGTTCTCAGTTCAGAGCGGATGTGAGAATCCATGTTTCTCTGCTTGCCAGAAAGGTCCCCCAAAGGAATGTGCCATTTAATAGCCTCAGAGTTCTGGTTTCAGGAGCGATTGTGATGTTCCTTTCGGTGGACTTAATCACTTTTATAACTATCCCCATCTCCTTTCCTGCAGTGGATGAGGGCAACTTCTTTTGCCTTCGGGGATAGATTGATTGACAGATGGCCTCAAGTCTACTCCCTCCCTGGATTCAAACCCTTTGCTGGCTGTATTGGCATTTCTTCCTTGTCATATGAGGGCTGGAGTGGGGACTGTGTCCCTTGTCCCGACTTCAGGCTCAGTCCTGTGGTTTGCTTTGGCCCACAGAGTGATCGCAGATGTTAACTTTTTTGCTTTTGCTGTGAGCATGAGCCCCATGGAGCAAAGACGAGTTGACCCAGTTGTCCCAGATGAGGGCCCAGCCTGTGAGAGAGCACGGCCAAGATTGCAAACTTGCCTGATCCTGCTGCAGCCAGCCACCGACGGGAGAGTGTGTGGGCCCAGGCAGTTACCACAGATCCCGGAGCAAAAAAAAAATGGTGTTTACTAGATGCCATTGAGGTTTTGAGGCTGTGTGTTATGAAGCACTGTTGGGACAACATGATTGATAAAAGTTGGAAATTACTACTCTTACATTTGGTTCAAGGAAGAAACGTGAGCACCAAAGGCAATTTTTTCAACTCACAAAAATTCTATGTATGTGTAGTGCAGAGCCTGATGTTTTGACTCGTACATACATTGTGAGGTGTCTAGATGTAACGAGTTAACATACGTACTACCTCACGTAACACCAAGAATTTACTGTCTTTGCAATTTTCAAGTCCACTAATGCTGTGATTAACCACAGCCGCCATATTGTTGGAGAGTTCTCTTGAGCTTCTTCCTCCCCTCTAACTGGAAGGAGTCCAGAAAAATTGAAAATGCCGAAGGCCTCCTGTTACCTGATTTCAAAATGCACTACAAAGCCACAGTCATCACCACAGCATGGTACTGGCATAAAAACAGACCCATGAAACAACCGAAGAGGCTCGAAAGCCCAGAATAAATCCATTTACCTATGGTCAGCTGATTTTCCCCAGATGCGAAACACACTCAATGCGAGAGGATAGTCTCATCGATAAATGGTGCTGGGAAAATGAGATATTCACGTGCAGACGGATGAAACCAACCCTGGACCTCACCCCATGTGCAAAGATAATTCCAAAACAGATAAAAGACTTTCACACAAGACCAGAAACTGTAAAATACTAGGAGAAAAGATTGGGGAATAGCTCCACGGTAGGGTCTGGGCGATGACTTTTTGGATAAAATCCCCAAACATAGGCAACGGAGGTGAAATGCGACCAGTGAGATCGCATCCAGCTAAAATGTGTCTGCAGAGCAGAGGAGACCATCCGCAGAGTGAAGAGGCCACCGAGGCAAGGGCCACACGTCTGTAAGGAGCTCATGTCCCCAATGAAGAAGGAGCACGGGATGTGTTAGTGCAAACCCGTGGCCCCTCGTTTCCTCCTCTGGTTGTTCAATGTCTTATGTCACGTGTCCCCTGACGCTGTGGGCCCCTAACCTTGGGTGTGGGCACCCTGCCGTGTTGATTTGAATATTGGTAGCTTTACTTCTTGTGTTTTCATGTGACTTTCCTATCTGGGAAACAGCCTGGTGTTTGGATGCATTTTGTGGTTGGAAGGGAAATCAGATGAGAGGTCCTGCTTCTCACAGCTCCAGCCTAAACTTGGATGGGAAGAGAATCAGAATAATAAAGGCTCCTGTTTACAGCGGGCTTCCGCCTGGCCTGCCTGCTGTGGAGATCGCCGTAAATGAGTCCGGTACATGTTCACTCATTGCTTCAGGACAACTCTAGGGAACAGGAATGACTATCACCCCCATTGTACGAATGGGGAAACTAAGGTCTAGGAGGTCACTTAACTCGCCCAAGGACACTTCAAGAAATCCAGGCAGCCAAGTGCCACAGCCCATGACCTTGACCACAGCATTATCTATCGGCTCCCACAGACCTGGAGCCCATGGGGCCCATGTGCCCCGTGCAGACGTGAGCCCCATGCGTTTCTCCCTTCAGGAGGCCAGGGAAGTTCCTGCCCTCGCTGGCCAAGAAAGGGAATGTTCCTGAATGTTTTCCCCCAGGACTAACAGCAACTCCATAAAGCTCCCTTGTCGAAGATCCCTCCTGGCTCCTTCCCCTCCTGAGATCATATCAGCCTGCATTTACTGTTCTGAGTGTTGGCAAGAAATCAAGCTTTACGTGTATGTACCTCCATCAACGTTTTCTTTGGGCCCTGACTTTGCCGTCGTGGTAGGAATTCATCTTGGTGTGGAGGTTAGAGCGGGCAGGGTGAGGGCATGAGGGTCCATCTGTCCTTGGTAGATGGCTCTGTCCGGGAGGTGGCCTTCTTCCAGTTTGCTGCTGCTTGAGCTGTCAATCACTGCCTCATGCCTGCAGGCTCTCTAGCTATATTTGTGCCACTATCAGGAAGCGTCACACTGTCCCTGCCACCCTGGGCTGTGGAAGATGGGGAGGCTGTCTTGGGGACACCTGCCTGGATGTTTCAAAGGGCTGCCTGGCTCTTGGCTGGCTTGTACACCTCCAGGGCTCTGCCTGGGGATACAAGTTCCAGAACATTCCCCGGGAGGGAGGCAGAACCCCTCGATAGGCATCTTCCAGGGTCCCCTCTTAATCTCCCCACTGGCTTGGTCTTCTCTCCCGTCACAGTCTCTAGTCGTCCTCTGCGTAGATCCCCCACATCTCCCAGCTAGCTTGGCGTCTTTGCCCTGAACAATCGAGAACCACAGTCAATGCTCACTAAATTATTAACTTCAAAAAATGAAGTTCCCTGCGGTGTGAGACCCCAAGCAAAAATCGATCTCCTCCTTTCCAACCAAGATCTCGAGACCCACGTAGATCTTTTATGGATCAAATATGACAGGTAGCGCTGACCTCTGACGCTCAGTGGAGAGATGGAAACTGAAACCTGCCCTCTTTCCAAATCAGACTAAGTACTAATATTTCACAGAATTTTCTAGAAGACTGGCCCAGTGCCCAGCCACTTTCTAATGATCTTAAACAACAACAAAACCATTAATAATTCCAGCTAACCTCATGGAGGGCTGAGGACTTGCCAGGGGCCTTAAAAGCTTTTTCATTTACTCATTTTGCCTTCCCCGTATCCCGTAAGAAGGTCCTTTCATCATCCCACCTCTCAGGTGCGGAATTTGAGCGGGCAGGAAATTTTCCAAAGAGGGCCACCCAGCCAAGGGGAGAGGCAGGATCTGAATCGAGGGGGTCGGGCATGGCTGCGGCCCTCCTTCTCTGCTGTCTGAGACCGACTACTTGCCAGACACTTCCTCAGCTGGGTTCGAAAGAGGAAAGAGAAGAGAAAAGCTTTGCGTTGGGAACCAAGGCAGCCAGCACACGCGTCTGAGCTAAAGGCAGTGCGACAACACTGTGCATAAACCCACGTAGAGGGAGCACCTTTCGTCAGTGCTGAAGCCTTCCAGGACTTCCAGCACACACCTGGGCGAACGAGGTCCCCGGGATGCTTTGTAGGATCCCTTCATGACCTCTCACTGCTGCAGCTTAGACACCGGCAGCCTCTCCTGCTCGGACATAAGGAAGCGGAGACCATCATGGGGCCTCTGTGAACAGGTGGCACACACGTGCCGGGGGTTCTGGGAGTGTGTCATTGAGGTCCACAGCTACCCACATGTGGTGCAGGTCTGCCCACCTGGAGATGGTCTCCCTGCCAGGTCCCAGGTGTCGACTGCCCCTGCCCCGGGCAGATGCTTACCTGGGTGCACAGGGGCACGGGAAGTTGGCTGTGTGGAGAGGCTCATCCTGATCCGCTGCTCTCCCGTGACCCCGCCACTGGTCACAGATACCCTGGGCACGTCAGGCGTTTCCATCTCGTGCTCTTTTCTGAGTTTGAAGTGGTGACTCAGCTCTTTTTAACTGTTCAACAAACGTTTGCCAAATCAAATTCGCTGCGGGGCTGACCCCCTCCTGATGGCCAGTGGAAAGTGGTTTATGTGTCCTTCAAGTCTTGAGCAGACGGTTCACGCTGTTTGGAACACCACCCGGTAAGGTACCCAATCAAGACGGCTTCCGTAAGTGGGACCTGTGTCCCCTGGAAGATACAGCCCTTCCTCACTAGCCGTAGTCGCTTTCTACAGAATAAGTCCAGGAAAAAGCCCCACGCATTCCGCAGCAGGTGCCTCGGCTGCAGGGGACAGTGTCCCAGCCTTCAGACTCACCCCTGTATCCTGTGTCTTTTTTACCTTCTGCACCAGGGCCTTTTCCACCACCATGGAGGCCACCTGGCCAGCACCAGGGGCAGCCCTGTGCCAGCGGGATGGGTGCTGGGGGTAAATGCTCCAGCTTCAGCCGCTTGTGGACAAGGACAGGGGTGGGGGTTCTGCACACTCCCCAGAAGGTCCCGGCGGTGTCGAGCCGGTCACTCATGGCCACCACCTTGATAATCTCCTTCTGTCGGTTGGCTTCTTCTCCTTCTTCCTTGATTTACTCCCCTGCTTCTTCCTTCTTGGTTTCTAGAATCCTCTCCTAATAAAGCCCTTGTATCTAAGTCCTGGCCTCGGGGTCTGATTTCATGGGATCTAAACCAGGACACTGTCTGACCATGGACAGGCAGCTAGAAGCCCCTGGTGGCTGGGCACCCATGAGTGTGAGACGTGATGGCCGGAGCTGGGGCAACAGCCATGGAGCAAGAGATTGGAACAGAGCCCTCAGACACACAGGAAGCAGAACAGGAGGTAAGTACTGGTAGGTTGGATGAAGATGGTGAGTGAGGACTTACAGCCTGGCAAGGAAGAGGAAGGAGGAAGGACAGGTGCTGAGGGAAAGAATGGTCACCTTAGTTTTGGGCATGTTGACTTTGAGACATCTGTAGAGAGAGATTGTACTATGGAGGGAGATATAAATCATGACCTTTTTGATTTTTGATTTGTCTAGTTGATCCTTGAGTGCCTCAGACTGCCATACGCCTATCCATCCATCTATCCATCTATCCATCCATCTATTCATCCATCCATCCACCCATTCTTCCATCCACCCATCTATCCATCAATTCATCCATCCATCCATCTATTCATCCATCCATCCACCCACCCACCCATCTATGCATCCATCCATCCATCCATCCACTCATCCATTCATCCATCTATCCATTCTTCCACCCACTTACTCATCTATCCATCCATCCATCCATCCATCCATTCATCTACCCACCCATCCATCCATCCATCCATCCACTCATCCATCCATTCATCTACCCACCCATCCATCCATCCATCCATCAACTCATCCATCCATCCATCCACCCACCCACCCATCTATGCATCCATCCATCCATCCATCCACTCATCCATCCATTCATCCATCTATCCATTCTTCCACCCACCTACTCATCTATCTATCCATCCATCCATCCATCCATCCATCCATCCATCCATCCATTCATCTACCCACCCATCCATCCATCCATCTATCCACTCATCCATCCATCCATCCATCCACCCACACACCCATCCATCCCTCCATCCACCGGTCCATTCATCCATCTATTCATTCATTCCTCCATCCCCCATCCATCCACCCATCCACTCATACACCACCCATCCTTTTATCTAATCCTTCCTTCTGTCCTCCTCCTGTCTATCTATCCATTTACCCCCCATTTATAGATTGAATGTTTTGTATGTACCAGTAAACGTTCTCAGTCCCACAGATTGTCTTTTCCTGCATTCTCCGGTAACCAGCTTGAGGCAAAGATTATCCTTCTTGTGTTTCACTTGGGCGGTGCAAGAGCCGGGGGCTGCGAGGCGGAGGGGAGGGAGGGCAGGTGAGCATGAGTGACGAGTGGCTGGGCTGTTTCCCCTGAGGGACGAGCTGAGGGGAGTCAGGGCTAGTTGCTCAGCAGGTGGTCTGCAGGACGGACAGACTCCTGTGGGTGTCATGCAAGAAGAAAAGATTCCTCAAGGTGCTTCCCGAGAGAGAGCCAGGGAGGAGAGGTGATTTACGTGCCGATTCCCACTGGTCAGTCGTGCCGCGGAGAGTCAGCCCCTTTGGGTGTGCAGGACTTCAGATGGCTGGCCACCTCTGTGGTTGTTCAGGGAGCCGGCTCCCATCCCCTGGACCATGCCACTTCTTTCCCCTGGGAAGCGGCAGGAACTCTGGACATGTGACCAGAGTCGGTCTGCTGCATCAGGTAGGGCCAGCTGGGCCGCAGTGGGCTCAGCAGGCCATGGCCGAGGCTGTGCGAGTCAAGTGGCCTGCAGGCCCAAGGGAATCGGGGTGATTCCAATGGAGGGCAGAGCAGAACCGAGACACAGGCTTTGCCCTGATGAAAAACACACTTGAGAGACAGAACCTGGGCGGGGGACATATCTCAGGCATTTGCACGTTTGAAGACATTGTCACTGAGACATGAATAAATGAAAAGGAGATGCCAGCCACAACATTCCAGGCAGAGGGGAAAAGAGGTGCAAAGGCCCTGAGGTGGGAGCCAGCCTGGTATTGTGGGGAATTAAAAGAATGTCACCATGGCCACCGAGGAGGGAACATGGGAGAGAGTAAGGAAACAGGCAGGACCCAGATCCCACAGGGCGTGGCAATGCACCTGGAGCCCCGCTGCCATTGAGGTCATCTTCTGTCCCCAACTCCTCCACGTGGAGGGTGACAGGGTTCCAATTAGGAATGAGGTTTGGAAGTCGGGTGGGGACGGCGGCGGCATCCAGGAGTCAAGCCGTAGGCTGAAGGAGCTTTTAAGCCAACTGAATATGTAATATGTGCCATGATGTATTAACTGCTGCAATTTATAGGAAATCATTATCAGTAATTATTACTATATCAAAAAAGCAATTACTAATACCATTTTGGGAAGCTCTTGGCTACCGACAGCTCATTCCCTGTTGCCGCCTTCTGATGGTAATTCCACAGTGCCACGGAGCACGGGGTGGAGAAAACAGATGTAATCTAATAAAGGTCGCCCTCCCATCTTTCCTGCGCCATGACATGCCATTTACCGAATCATCCATTATTGCCCAAAGAACAAAGACGAGCTCCACCAAGCAAAGAAATGATAAAGTTCACTCGAAAATTGGGGAAGCAATTGCAAAACTACTTGAGGCCAAGGGCACAATCGTGCACTGAAATCAATAGCTGTCAGCCGACGAGGAGGAGGGAGGAGAATGAATAAACACGGTAAATAATGCTGAGGAACCGATCCGGGCCAAGCAGCCAATCAAAGAGAAGTCGAGGAGCGCTTGAAGAGCCAGAGGTCTGAGTGGGAATCTCTGCTCCATGTGTCCTGGCACCTGTGAGGACCTCAGATGCCTTTCTGACCAGGGTGGGAGTTGTGCTGCGAGGCTGGTGGGCTCCTGGGTGACAGCATCATCTCCAAGGTCCTGAGCCTCCTTCTCTGCTTTCCCCTTCCACCACAATGATCAAAGTCATGCAAAGGCAGGGCAGGGCACAGAGGAACCCAGCAAAGCCTCCGTGTCTCAGACTGAGAAGATAGGAATTAAAAAAAAAAAAGGACGCCCACAAAATGATTTAGTTTTAAAAGCATGTCCACCGGGCTTTCCTTTGGTGCACGTCATTGACAGAGAAATGAGCTTCTTCCAGCTTATGTTCCAACCCAGGAAGGTTTAATTATTCACACAAACTCACCAGAGCCCTCCCTCTGTTAAAAACCATCAAAGGGAATTCAGAATCATGAATGAAATAAATTGAGGCACGGAACAGTTTATGGCCCTTCTCCTGCCTCACCTCTTCCTTTCGCTAAAGGAAACCTTCAAACCCTGGATGTGACTGTTCTTGTTTTTCCGGGGTTTGGTGTGGTAACACGCTGATATGCAAGATGCCAGAGATGGCAACGGTGACCACTGTGAGCTGGGCGCTGGTGTGACACTTCGGTCACATCATCCCTTTGATTGTCACCTCACAGGCTGACGGTGTGGTCCACTCTTCAGGTGGACACAGTGGCCTCTGAAAGTCTCCTACAGCTGCAAGTTTTTCTGCTCATAAAGTGTGTCAGCTTTAAAGTTCAAAAAGGGACAGGTCTGAGTCCAGAGTCCAGGCTGTTAATAATCACGTCCTACCTCTTCTTTGGTACGTCATCCACTCTTGATCTCCTGTCTGTCCATCCACTATCCATCCACCCTTCCATCCAGCCACCATCCATTCAATATCCATCTATGTCCTCCAAAATCCACCCCCTCATTAAACATCCACCATTTGCAATCCACCCATATCATCCATCCATCCATCCTTCCATCCGTCCACTCTCTATCTGCTGATGAATCTACTCATCTATTCCTACACCCTTTCCTTCTTCGTTAATTAAGCAATTTTTATTGGTGATGCCTCATAATTATATCCTAACCTTGACCCCTTCTCCCTCCGTGGCCAATGCTGAAACCTCCATCAACCCACCACCCTCCTGGTCTGGGTGGCCACCATGGCTTTCCACTTGGCTTATCTCTAAGTCTTGTTTTTACCGTCCGTTTTCATCCTTGCTGCCTGAGGGTCTTCTCAAGGGGCACGTGGCTGCCATGATTGAAGTCCTCCGCTGAATTCCGGCTGCATTCAAAGTAAAACCTCTGACTGCCTCTCTCCCAGGTCACGCTGTGGCGTGGGCCATTCCAGCCACATTGGCCAACTCTTTATTCCTCAAAGAAGCCAAGGATGCTCTTGCCTTGGAACTTGCGGGGTGCTCCTGTGCCCCGAATGTTCTTCCCTTGGGTGGCCCCTTCTTTCCAGTTCCGTAGAACTCAGCTCACGTCACCAGCGTGTGTTCCTGGTCTTCTCCATGAAAGCAGTCCACCAGCTCGGCACCTCCACGGGTCTTCCGTCCATTGTTCCACTTGTGTGGATTTTCCCGACCATATTTAAGCCTATCGTAGATACATGTGGCCATCCAATATCCCTTTCCATGACTCCCCAGATGGACACAAGGACTGGACAGTGGAGCCTTGGGCTCAATTCATAAATGCTTATCATGTCCTCATCTTCCTTGTTCCAACCCTCTGTCAGTGCTGGGATACAGCCCATCCTTGCCCTCGGGGAGCTTACACAGGAGTGCAGGAGGATGCGCCACAGAACTAGGCTCACGGCAGAGAGGGACAGCTGCTGTGGTGAACAGCCACGAGACAGAGAGCCGTGGGGACAGAGCAAGAGGGTGAGACTTTAGAGCATCTGATCAGAGAAAAGCTCTCCGAGGAGCTGGCATCTGAGCTGAGAAGGAGAAAGAAGAGTAAGACTGAACTCTCAAAGAATCAGAGAGTTCCATACAGAGACCCATCCCATGCAAAGGCCCTGAGGCAGATGCACATTGGGGGAGTTAAAGTCACAAAAATGAGTCGAATGCAGCTGGTGTGAAATAATGGTGTGATGGTGGCAAGGGCCATGGTGCCAAGTGAGCTTAGAGACTTCTATGTGGAACGGTTTAAAGATAGAGTCAGCAGATGTTAAGTATGGGATGCCTGGTTAAATTAGAGTTTCAGATAAGCAAGATGTCACTTTTTAGCATTATGTCCCAAGTGTTGCATGGGTCATACTTAGACTAGAATTTGTTGTTATTCTGAACTTCTTATTTAACCAGACATTCTGTATTTTATGCAGAAGCCCTGTTCTAAGGTGTCACACCAAACCTAATCAAGATAGGACATATCCCAAATCCCGGGCTGCATTGCTGAGTCCTGATGATCATGGAGGAGAACTCAGAGAAGAAATCTGAACGGGCGGTTACGGTCAGTGGACTTACCACTCTCTTCCCATCTACTTGGGGGAAAAAAAAGACACCAGGAATCTAGAAGTATATTTGTCTTTGGAACATATTAAGTGGTGATTATTCCAGGCAATTGACTTTCATAATTGTGTAGAAACTGAGAGCCCACATGCTTCCCTTAAGGGAGGGACCGTACCTAATGGACTCTGTCCCCTTCCATGACGCCCGGCACAGCACCTTGAGCATACACAGGTTCTTAGTAAACAAGGGCTAGTTCATCAAGAATGAGAAAAGACGTTTAGGATTCATCTCACTGTATGCCCTACTTCATCGAGAAAGGTCTTAGAGAGAGTCAAAGTGTGATGCCTGAATTCCTATTTTCTTACTTTCCCCAGTACACTGTGAAGAAAAAGAAAAAGAGGGTTCTTTGTGGACATTACTGCTGCTCATCAATATTCTGTTCTCTTCCCCTTGCAGATAAGTGCAGAATCTCACTTCCTCACCCCCTAGAACACGGTGTACCCATGTGACTATGAAAGGTAAAGAGCAATGCCCTGTGCCCCTCCTGGGCTGAAGCATTGAGCTGCTGCCTCTTCCCTCTCTTGTGTAGTCCAGAAGCATCATGTCCACCTGGTAAGATAATTAAATGTTGGAGCCTCCACTGGCCTGGGCCCCAGCGGGTTACGGTGAGCTGAGACTCCTCCCCCTGCACTGAACATGGAGCACTTATAAGAACGAAACCTCTGGTGGTTGAAGCAATGAGCTTTGGGCTTGTTTGTTAGTGCAGAATCACTGACTGATACTGTCTGCCCATGTCGGAATGTTTGTATATCCTCAAAATTCACGTGTTGAAACCTATTCCCTTGGTGTGGAATCAATAAGAGGAGGAATCTTTAGAGAAATGATTAAGTGATAAGGGAAAGTCCTTAGGAATGGAATTCGTGTCCTTCTGAAAATGAGGCTCAAAGGACTTTACTCACCCCTCCCACCACACGAGGACACAGCAAGATGGCGGCATCTATGAAGCACACAGGGTGAGGGCTCCCCAGATACTGGATCTACTGCCTCCTTGGTCTTGGCCTTCCCAGCCTCCAGACTATAAGCAGTACATTTCTGTTGTTATAAATTACTGGGTCAAAGGTATTTTGGACTTAGATTCTGAGGTTCCATGACCCTGCCGCATTTCTAATGGGTCTCTAGACTTGAGTTAGGCAGCATCAGGGCCAGGGACAGAATTGTGACTGCTTTTCTGAGACTTTGTGGGCAAACAGGATACTCCCAGTGTCCTTCTAGATCTATTTTAGGATTAACTCCAAAGTGCAGTTCAAGGGGAGCCAGGACTGATAGTTTTCTCTGTGTGGCTGAATATAAATGAACTGAGAAGTACTGAGGGCCACAGCTGGTGGTCTCCATGCCCAGAGATTCCCCAGCGCGTACCTGGGTACATAATGACCTGGATACCTAGTCTGCCTTCTGGAACATCAGATAGACGTGTCCGCTTAGGGTTCTGTGGCTCTTCCGTGTCACTGAGAGCAAAAGTCCTATATAATGACCTTGTGGGTGGCCTAGCTTTAGACCTCAGATGGAACGGCACACAATGATACTGTTTTCATGTATAAAAAAGTATGTAAGAATGTGCACTTTTATCCCCTTTGCATCTGAATCTGATACTTGTTCTTTTACCTTTTCGTGTAAAGGATTGAAATATTTTAAAATTACAGAAGCAAATCCCCAAACGGGAATCACAGTCAGCTGTATTAGTCAGCTTCTGCTGCCTAACAAGCTATTCTACAATTTAGTGGACTGAAAAGGGACTTTTGTCACCTCACCGTTTCTGTGGGTCAGGAATTTGGGAGTGGTTCTCCCTCAGAACGCTTGTGAGGTTCCAGTCATGAAGTGGGCTGGAATCACTTAAAGGACAGACGGGATTTGGAGGATCCACTTCCACGATGGTGCCCTCCTGTGGATGTCGGCAGGCACCTCACCACATGGGACTCTATAGAGGGCAGCTGCTTCCCCAGAGCCGGGCCCTCAGCTTCCGGGCCTAGACGCTACCATGTAGTCAACATTTTATTGGCTGCACAGATCCTCTTTATTCAGCGTGGAACGGGACTCCATCAGGACGTAAGTAACGGTCAGGGGCCATTGGGCGCCATTTTGAACACTGACTACAGAGCCCAGAATCCTGCTGCACACAAGGGCACTCCTGAACACCGTCCCCCTGCACTCCCCGTTCACCTCGACCTTCCTTGGCAGGCAAAGCACAGGGGTCCAGTGTTCATCTAAGTTGTCTTCTCACAAGAAGAAACTTTCCTTTCTCTTTCTCAGTAAAGGACGTCCCATTGGCCCATATGGCTTTCCCGCCTAAATAAACAACCCCCTGTTCAGTTCAACAGCTTCTCCAGAGAAAACTTTCCACCTTAATAGACAGGTGTAGATTGTCCAATGGTGGGCGCGGCACCATTCCTGACAGCCTGGCTCCATTCCATGGCCACACCTTCCACTGCCTTCTCCCAACAACTTTCTGTGGTCCCCAAGAGCTGACTGAGTGTTTACTGAGGTCGCCATGGCAACGCCTCTTCCGAGGAGGCTGAGGGGTGTTTCATCCACCTGGTGACATCGTGTTCTGTGTCTCTCCTGCTTTTCCAACAGCACTTTGGAGTCGGGCTCTCTGTCTCCGCTCAGCACTCATTCTTACTCTATCCATTGAACCTTTGCCGGGCATTTCTCAAGCACATTGTCTATGAAATATGTAAGCAGGAGGCCTTAGAAAGAACAAGTTCCTATAAAATGGTCGGTAACAACAGCTTTGCTGTTCACCGTGATCACTGCCCAGACTCCCCTATTCCCCCGAATGGTGTTCGCCCCACCCATGCCACACCATCCATTCTGCTCCCCATCACGACACTGTTTTTTTTTTTTTTTTTTGGTGTTTTACGAAACGAGACATTATTCAGAGCAAAAAACTAACATGGAATGCTGATAAGGAAGAGCTACCCCGGCAAGAGCAGAGAAAATAGTCACTTAATCCTGGCTACTAGTCCCAACTCTTCCAGGGAGATTTGTGGCGTAAGGTTCAGAGATCTGATCCAGCAACCCATCACTAAAGCGAATAAGCATCTGACAGCGTGACCCCGCTTTTCTGGTGTCCATGAGGACACGCTCCGGGGAAACCCATCCAGAACTGACCTCCCTGTCCATGAGACCGCATTTCATTATTACCATCCTGGAACCTGGAATTTCTTTGGTAACTTGTTAAATGCTGCTGGGGATGGCAAAATAAAGCCTCTGGCAACCCTGCGTATTTTTGCTGTTGCCATCTTCACTGATAAATTGCCCAATTTTCTTAGCAAATTCAGCAACAATAACAGTTTTCTGCTAGCAAAATAACCTTTCATTTTTTACAAAAAAAAAAAAAGGTGGTGGAGAGGGGCTGGAATAAAAACAAGTGGTAGAGGTGGCATGTTTCCCACAAAACCAAGTTCCTAATTTTTAGTTTTCTCTAGCTGTGGGTAGGGACTGGCTTTTTGTTTCTCATAAATAAAAGGGCTACGTTTATGCTCGGCCTAAGGCATCCTCTGATGCCTGGCTAAATCGTTTTGATAGGAAAGATTTATTGGAATACTTTATAATTCCATGATGAATGAGGTAGATTATTTTCTTTGGTTCTGTCTGACACCCCTCCTGCCCAATCTGATAGCATCACCGTGCTTTTTTATGGCTGAGTTTCTGAGAAGTCGTGTTTAGTAGGACACACGATAGGTAGGAATTTCTGCCTTGTCCATCAACAATGAGAGGAGCATGTTCAGAGAGAGGTGTGGATGAGGGGGCTCTCTGATTCAAGGTTGGTGACCAGCCTCTGCCACAGAGAAGCCCAGAGAGAAGGTGAACTGTGACCGTCCCTGTTTTCATCATGAATTCGTCCCTGATACCAAGAGGAAGGCAGAGACAGGATTTGGTGTGATGTGAGCTGGAACTGAGAGGCAAATAAAAGCCAGAATCATGAGCCATCAACCCGAGGAGGCCAATTCCCAGACAGATAACCATGTCTACCCACAGAGACGCCCGGGCATGCGGAGCAGGGACAAGCAAGTTCTGTGAACCACCGACAATCAGACTCTGAGGGCGAAATATATTCCCAGGGCAGTGAAATCCAAGAAACTCTGACTTTGCGTTTTGCTGGGGCTCAATCTTCAATCTCTCTGATTTTGCTTTAATCCTCATGTTCCAACCCAGATCCGTCAATGAAGCCGAATTCCAGCCCGGACAGGTTTTTGGCTTCTTCCCAGGTCTCGCTTAGACCTGGGCACCTAGGAGGTCACGCAGCTGTAGGAAGACTTGTGCTGTGGCATCCTGCACAAGGTGACGGAGGCAGTGTAGTCTCTGGCAGGGACAAACACTCTGGGCTCTGGGACTGAGGTGACTTGGGTGGAAATGCAGACTACCACGTGCCACACAGGCACACTGGCCAAATGGCTGCCCATCCCGTGCTTCTGTCTAGTTCCATCTCGTTCGTAGGGTTTCACGGCTTAGTACGACTGGTTAGGAAAAGGGGCCGGGTGTGGAGCAGGTGCTTCATGATGTGAAATTCCACTTTCCCTTTTCCAAATCCCTTAGAACTTAACTGTGTTCCTTGTATCAGGGAGCTAAAGAGATTTGCAAAATTAGCCCAGAAACTCTTGGACAATTAAAACACGAACTTAGAAACATAAGCTTGACTCCATCTTTGGTTTAGCTTTGCTTTATCCACAGCCAGAGAACATCCCGCCAGCCCACCTTGATGCTTGTGTGGAGAGACCAGCTGTTTGTTGTGACCTGGGTCTAATTCCTGGCCTTCAGGTCGAAGCTCTCCTCCTACTCTCTGGCTATTTTGTTCAGGAGAAGGGGAACAAACTGCCTTTGATTCTAGGTCAGGGCATATGATTCATGCCTGGTTTTGGAAACTGGCTCAAAGCTCTCCAAGGAGACTCAAACTAGAAGTTTTCTGGCAAAGGAGATGAAAAAAACCATGTTATTTTGCATTGAAGTTACTAAGCCTAGAGCTTCTGAGTGCCATCAGGAATGGCAGAGTCCCCTGAGAGGGGAGTTGACACAGAAGGAAGCTTAGGTGGGTGAGAAGTCCTAACAATATTATTTGAACTCCTAGATCCATAGGAGGTTAATGTAAAATCTATTTTTTTTTTTTTGCCATTAGGTACATGAATCAAGTATTTCTCTTTCCACCTTTTTATTATCTTTGAATCTGAGGTAGGTTGCTTGTACACTGTATTCAGTTTGGCAATGTTTTTTTTTTTAAATCCATATTGATAATCCCTCTACCTTTTTATTAGAGTGTTTAATCCAGTTACATTTAGTATAATTATTGATAATGCAGGATTTATGTCTGCCATTTTGCTATTTATTTTCAGTATATTTCATGTCTTTTTACATTCTTAATTTCCTCATTACAGACTTCTTTTTGTGTTAAACAGACTTTCCTGTTTACCATTTTACTTCCTTCTTGTTTCTTTTACAATGTAATTTTCTTAGTGGTTGTCATGGAGATTGCAATTAACATCTCAACTTAAGATAACCTATTTCAAATTAAGGTTAACTTTAATAGTATCTAGAAACTCTGCATCAGATAGAGCACCATTCCCTTCTTCTTCCTCTGTGCAATTATTGTAATACAAATTAAATTTTTACCTACTGTAAGCAACTGACAGTTTTATCATTATTGCTTCATGTAGTTTTCTTTTAAACCAGATAGGAGAAGAAAATGCCAACCCCCAAAACCCACTTACATTGTCCTGAATATTTACTTTTGTGTTTACTGTCATTGGTGTGAATCAATAATTTCTTTTATTTTTTCATGAAGAGCTTGAAGTTCGATTCTTTGTAACTCCAAGTGTCCTATGTGATAGAGCAGGCCAAAGGGGGCTTCTGAGAAGGGCAGTAGGTGCAGCTTAGAGTGCACTATCTCCTGTACACACCCGTCTTTCTGCTTCGTAGCCAGAGACATCATTTTTAAGAAGCATAGTGGATTATTATAAGATTCTTTTTACTTGGATTAATCTGTATCTTCTAATTTAAGAGAGGAACTTTTAAATAATAGACTTGTGATAGATTAAAGTGACATAGATTCTCCTCTATTGTTTACATTGAGTGTAATTCACCCCCCTCACACACACACACCATGACTAGGCTCTTCTTAGTGACTTGCATGATCAATAGAACATGGCAGAAATGACCTTCTGGGGCTTCTGAGGCTTGGTCTGAAGAGGCCTTGTGGCTGCCGCCTGGGTCCCCAGGAATGCTCACTTTGGAGGTCCTGAGCCATCATTTGAGTCCCACTGTCTCCATGCCATGCTGGGGAAGCCACACGCAGATGTCCCAGGTGACAGATCCAGCAGAGTCCAGACTTCTGGTCATCCCTGCCGAGCCTCAGACCACCGAAGCTGTCACACCTTGCATACCAGATCATCTACCAGCAGAATAGCAGCTCACCGCACGGAATCAAAGTCATGCTTTAAGGCACTGTGTGCTGGGCACAATTAGTGATGGAGCAGTAGACTAGGTATCAAGGTGGTGTGACATCTGGACCAGGCAGAGGGACTGCTAGAAACCATTCACACTGGGGTCTCAAACCCAAGTGCCAGCAAGGGCCACCCAGGCAGGTAATGGAAATGAATGTGTGATCTGGGGGCGGGAGGATTTGTGTAAACCAGAGAGTGTGTGTGTCTAGAGAGCAAGGCCAACGGCTGCCCTGGGGGGACAGGCATCTAGCCTTGGTAGACTTTTTAAGAGCAATCAGAGTTTGTAATGCAAAAACCCTTGAGTTTTTCTTTTTCTTTTTTTCTTCTCTCTCTCTAGCAGTGCTGGGGAAAATTCCTTAATTTTTAACTGCTGAGAAGTAATTAAGAAAAATCATAATGCTGCCTCGCAAGCCAAGTCGCACACGCTTGCTGGCCGCCCTTTCTTCTCTGCCTCCACTTTGTGACCTCAGATCTGGCTCCAGGCCCTCGAGTGTAAGATGAGGAAACAGGAGTCTAGGGAGGGACATGCCTTGCTCTGGGTTTCCCTGTGCACGTTACTGTCTTAAAGCTCCCTAGACCCAGGTCTTCACCTCCAGATTCAGCGCTCCTGTCCCTGTCCCGCACTGCTTGGTTAGGACAGAGACTTCCCAGACAGGTGGTCCTCCTGGGGCTTCTTAGGTTTAGCCGAAGTAAAATGATACCACCCATGGGCCTCATCAAGCTCTCAGAGTGAACTTTCCAGAATCAGCAGAGCCACAGCCCATCACTCTGGGAATGCCCATGTCACCGTGCAATGGGGCAGGGGTGGAATCTCTGGCCCATACCGGGGCTTTGCTGAGAGCCGCGCGAGATTTTCTGTCTCTTTCTTTGTCCCACCTATTTTATGGCAAAGAACATAATCGAATGACCTAGCTCATCAGCTTGTTGGTATGGCTCACTTGACTACTTGCGTAGCTAGTCTGCTCCCAGTTGGCCTTCCTCTGCAGAGATGACTTGCGCTCTCTGGGTTGCATAGACCCTGCCAGCCCCTGAATCATGTGCTCATCTATCTGGATGCTCTGAAGACCCCTGAATTATTTTACTAGCATAGGTTAACTGTACAACTAAGAATCCCAGACTTTCAGTATTGTAACATAATGGCTGACAATAATAAATGTTCCTGCTGATGGGACCGTTCAGTGTGGGTGTGTAGGGTAAATAGCTCCTTGGGGCCTTCCAAATGGAGTTTGGGGGACCAGACTCCTTCCATCGCGTGTCTCTGATGCCACCTTGAAGCACTTCCTTCCCATAGTCATCCTCGGAGAGCTGTCCCAGAGGGCTTGTTGTTGTTTTGCTTTTGGAGTCTGAGCCTGGACATCCCTGTGAGCACATCAGTTCTGCTCACATGCCATTGGCCAGAACCAAGTCATGTGGCCATTCTACTGCAAGGGATGCTGGGAAATGTAGTTTAGGTGTGTGTGTCCAGGAGAAAAGGGAAGGAGTATGACATGCTTGTTCCCTGAAGCTGGTTTCACAAAAGAGACATGATGGGTGGGGCTAGGCCCAGAGCCTAAACCCCTCACCGCACAGGACGGGGCGGGATCATTATTTTTAAGCTTAGAGCTGCCCTCTGTACCTGCCATAGAGAGACCCTGTGGGCTGAGGATGGGGCCCGGATTTTACCTTGTGGTTGAGTTCAGAAGCAATAGTAATTAATTGCAGACCATCATTTGGAAATTCTCATAATATATATCAAAAGCTTGAGAGAGAGTGTAATTAAGGGGATGAACGTGGGCTGCTGATTCTAAGGAACACGTTGCTAATAATCACTAACATCTATTGAGTGCCTACTATATGCCAGGAACTGTTAATAGAAGCATTTTACAGAAGTTTACACATCTTAATAGAGAGATTCAAATGAGGCAAAGTCCAGGCTGGTCGGGGAAACCTCATTCACAGGAGGGTGTTGGAGTGGGACGAAAGGACTTTAGGATCAGGGTTAGTATGGAGGTCCTAGGACAAGGTCTATATCTAACAGAATGGCCTCATATCAGTGAGGTCGATACAAATGTTGGCTTTTGTGATCTTTGAAATACACACATGAACCAGCATTTGGCAAATACAGAAGAGGAAGAAAATCGACACCATGCACAGTAAAGTTTCCTGTATCCGGGGTTGTTTAGAGAAAAGCTAGAAATTTTCCTGAAATCCCCTAAATCACAGAGAATCTCTCCTCAGCAGTCCCTTGCCCTGGTGGCCAGGAACATTAGGGGAAAAAAAGCAAGAGAAACCAGTGCCATCTGCTTCTCTCTTGCAGTGAGTCAAAGTGCACAGCTATTTGGCAGTTGGTGAAACCTTGGGTGAGCAATAGTATTCAAAGCTCAAATCCTCCCATTTCTCCAGGGAGAGCGAGCACACGAGGCAGATGGTCTCAGAGCCACGCAGGTGCTTCCAGGAATGTTTTCAGTCTGTTTCCTTGTTTTATTTTAACCCTTTCCTGGCTCTCTGCAGAGCATGCATGTTTCTGGACGTCTCTGGGTGGGGGAGGAGTAGGAGGCTTCCACGGGTGCCCTGCCCCCACCCTGCCCCTTTCTCTGCACTCGCCCCGTCCTATTCCCTCAGGTCAGAAGAAGGCCACAGATAAACTGTTTCCAGTTAGATCCAAGTTTTCTTAATGGACTATCCCTACTAAGAATCTTGAACCCTGGGAGAAAGGATGACAGGTGGCCATGACCAGGCCAAACACAGATGGCAGACTGTCACTGGATTCCAGATACCAGCAAGATACCCAGATCTCTGTGTGGACAGCAGGCGCTTCCACCAGGCACCAAAACCAACCGATGCTAGGAACCGTTTCCATAGCCACAGGGGTTGCCGACGACAGGCCGGACCCGGTTGCCTGGTTGTGGTGTGAAGAGCACAGCGTGGGGTCCAGATGGCCTTGAGTCACGCCCTTGACCATGTGAGATGCCTTATCAAAAGTGAGGTCCAGGTTGAGGAGCCCTGATCTGGATATCTGAAATCTAAAATGCGCCTAAATCCAAAAATTATGTACATGCGGATATTGCCATTAAAAAAAATTCCAAGATCTGAAACGTGCCTGTGCCAAGAGTTTCTGGTGGCAGGTGCCTGACCTGGGTGTGCACCTGCCTGGTGCCTGTTTCCCTAATGAAGCTGTTTCTGACTTTCTGCAGAGAGGGCCCTGAGGAGGAAGGAGCTCATCACCTTCCCTGGCCATCTGTGGGACATTAAAGGAAATTAGGGACAAGATGGCCAGAGAAGGGAAGGGGACTTCCCAAGCCAGGGCACAGAGGGACAGAAGTGGCCTGGGGGCCTTGTTTAGGGTTCCAAGTGGTTCTGGTGCCTGTGTGCTTTGGAGGCTGAGCAGAGCCAGGGGGAGAGGCCAATATCCCCGGGGAGCAAACGGCTTCAAGGCTGGATCCCTCGTGCCCTGCTCCCGCTCCTGGCTCTAGCGGGGCTGTGCACGGGGCTGCCATCCAGCGCACTCACCCTTGGGAGTGGACGGGGCCTCTGAGGAGCTGAGAGTCCGGGGTCGCTCTGTGGGGCGGGGCGGTGAGCAAAGCAGAGAGGGCTGTGTGTCCCTGGGCGCCTGGCCAGGCCTGGGGGTAACCGGTGCCCTCTGCTCTCTCCCCACAAGTGCAGAGACACACCATGCAACCAACCAGCCCCAGGGCCCCGGCATCCACACACCTTCCAGACCCAGAAATTTAGGAGCCCAAAGGCAGCAGCCACCCACTGGCTGGAACCAGAGGGTGAGAGGAAAGGGACTTGCCATTCCTGCTTTCAGAATGTCACCCGTGTGACGCTGACTCCATTTGCTGAGAGTTACTCATGTGGCTCTGGTTTTCATGGGATCATGTGAACAAAGATAAGAAAAGAAAGAAAGAAAGAATTCACAGAAATGGACACATGGGTCACAGCAGCTGGCCCCTGTGTTTTCCTCCTCCCCGGCTTCCCCGGTGCCAACGTCCCCCAGTCACCCCCCACACGGGTGCCACAGAGGTCTGTCCATGCTGCTGCTGGTCAGGACCCTCGTCGGCCCTTGGAGGCCCAGCGCTTGCTTTGCTCTGAGGGTCCTGGACCACCGTGTTCTGCCATGACTTTTGTGTGGCCTCTGAGTCGCTACAGGCCCTTCCTGTCCATGGTTAATCGATGGTATCGCGCTTTCCCGCTGAGCTG